TGCTTCTACCTCTTCCACTTGATGAATTTCTTCTTCTACCTCTTCCTCTTCCTTGTCTACCACATCTTGATGATTCCCCTCTTGTTTGTTCATTACTTGATGATTCTTTGTGACTTTTAGAATTCAAATTAACTTTTGATTGGAATGCACTCTCCAAAGGCTTCTTTGATTGTTTTAACAACCTTTGTTTGTGAGCTTTCAAAGAACCCATCAATTCTTGGACACTCATTCTAGAGATATCCTTTGTTTCTTTAATTATTCCCACCATTGTGTTATATTTTTCTGGTAAACTAACCAGAATTTTCTCAACAATTCTCTTTCGTGCAACTCTTTCACCATATGATTTTATTTGATTGACAATCTCCATCAGTTTAGAGAAATAATCAGTTAAAGTTTCAGATTCTTTCATCTTCAAATATTCCAACTCCATTCTAAGAGTTTGGAGTTTGATGATTCTTATCTTCTTGTCTCCTTGAAATTCTTGCTGTAAAATGTCCTACGCTTCCTTTGATTTCTTGGCTTCAATGATTCTTGGAAACAACTCCTCAGAGAGTGCTTGTTGGATGAAGTAAAGTGCTTTAGCATCCCTTTTTTTTGGTTTCCTCTAGCTGCCACTCTTGTGTTGAAGTTAATGTAGTTGTTGAATTGGGTTCATCATACTCATTTTGTACCAAGTTCCATAAACCTTATGACTGAAATAAGGTCTTCATCCTCACACACCAATAATCATAATTTTCTCCAGCAAAAAAAGGCATAGATGGTCGCTGGATACCTATACTTTGGTTGCTTGAGTTAGCCATGGAGATTTTCTGTAAAACCCACTTTTCTTCTTCGCACACCTTCTATTTTCAACCCTCTTTTTTAAATCCACGCTTCCACTTCGAACTAGGCTCTGATATCACTTTATGTTAGGTGTTTTGGACGCAAGTATGTGTTTAAACTACAAAGAAATCAATCTAAAAACACACAAAATCATATCTGATTTTTCTTGTAGAAAATAGAGAAGAAGAAGAGCAAAACAGGGGAGAAAAGGGGTCACAGTTGAACAGCCCTTTTAGCAGATTTTTTTATTAACTTTTTAGCTTTCCTTACAAGCTTTAAATCTAAAATTATATCAATCCCAGTACTAATAAAACATCTGGACAAATTTCCTCCATATACATTAACTCTAATTAACAAAGTCCAACCCAAAACATAACTAGAATTAAATAAGCATAAGTGATTGTTTAGATACAAAATTAAACAAACACATTATATCAACACATATAATAAAATTTGAACAATCAGGTAAGCAAAAAAATTGAACAGATAATAAAATCTGAGCATATATTTGAACATATAAGGAAAAAAATTGAACAAATTGTAAAAAATTAAAAAATATTTGATGGTCAAAAAAAGTCAGCAGATAGATAACGGGTAAAATTGAAAAAAAAAATGTCTTTCAAAATAATAAAAAGATTTCTTACCAAACTATTTCACAATTGATGGATCTCTCACAATAAAAAAATATCTACTGAACCTAATTCCTTAGACAATGGTCATATTGGATTTTTCAGCAAGTTTCTATTTAAAAATTACCTTGTCATCCCAAATTTTACTTTCAATCAAATTTGATATATATATAAATAAAAACTTCAATGTTTCATCTTAATAAATTTTCATTAAATTCAAATTTGATGAAGGATGAAAAGATTGATGAACATTTGATGAAAAGATTCTCAATTTGAAGAAAAGAATGACTCTTCCTTGATTTGATGAACATTTGATGAAAAGATTGAAGATGATTTTTGAATATTTTTTCATCAAATTTAAATTTAATGAAAGAAAAAGTAAAACATTGGTGATTTTGTATAAAATATAAATATATTTAGTAAGGAAATTTTAGCAACAAATATCCTAAAATAAAGATTAATGAAAAATGTAATTTTAAGGATCTAACAGTCCAAATTCAAATTTCTTTTATCAAAAGATTCAAACACGAAATTATTATGTCATTAACGACATACGTCTGCACAATAACTAAACCACCCCATATATTTAAACACGTGTTTGTTCGTTCTAACCCATATATCCAGCACACTCTTCGTTGTCTCTAACAACAGATCTAGAACCTCTCTCCATTTCTCTCTCTCCTCTCTCTTGCTTCCACTATCCTCTACCCAATTCCACTGTCATGTCGTCACTTTTTCCCCAACTTTTCTGTCACTTTCTCTTTCTCATCTCCTTTCTCTATCTCATCCTCTTCTTTTACTTTGGCTCTAGTTAATACATCATAACACTTCAGTGCTGCAATCAATGGCATCGCCGCCACCTCGTCTAAGCACCACCATCGGTAGTCTTGCATTAAAAATCACTACTTTTTTTAGCGAAAGGAAATGATGATAGCGGTGGCAGTGGTGGTAACTAAATCGGATTCATCAGATCTCTACTAGATCTGCATCTCCGACCGGAAAAGTGAAAAAGCACCACCATAGAGCCGCAGATCTGCTCTCTCTCTCTCTTTCTCTCTCTCTCTGTGTATGTTGAAATCTAGATCTCTTTCTCTTTGTTCAAGATTTTTTTTTTTTTTTTGCTTTTTTGGGTTAGATCTGCAATTGGAAATCATGAAAAGAAGATATGTTGAATTTGAAATCCAGATCTGTGTTGAAATCCAAAGTAATTGCCAATATTAGTTATTGATAGAAATATAATACTATATACACAGCGGAAAATAATATGGATTCATACAAACCTTGTTGGCAAACAGATTGCACAATGAATCACATACTCTAGAATAATCTCCACAGCAATGGAGTAAAATTACTAGAGTTTTACCCACACCAATCACAGTACAAATGTAGAATGATTTATGGGAAGAGTGAACGCATGTTTTTTGTTATCTCAAAATACAGAACCCAAGTTGTGTTTATATAGGAGAGTTAGGAGACCCATAGGATAGATATATTATCCCATATAATATCTATCTCATATCTATAATATCTAATCAATAATGATCATATATTACATTGACAATTATCTTATATCAAGATATATAATCTATTATAGATATTTAGATCTCTCCTAATCGGGTCATGCCACCATGGACAACCCAATTAAGTCCGGGTTCTAAACTCGACCCAATTTCCAATAGTTATGGCTAGGGTTTTGCAATGGTGATTTTGTGCATTTAGTTTCTATAGTATATGTTTAATATGTTCTTACTATTTGTTTATCTATTTATTTCTTTTGTAATTCTTATTGTTGGTTATTGTTGTTTGGTAGGAGCCAAATATTTGGCAATGCCAGGAAGAGCGTACTCTGCAGAACAGACACTATTCGGCGTTATCCGGCGCGCTCAGGAGGCCGAATACAATAGATAGGCCGGATAAGCATAAATCCATGGAGCCGAATATGAGAAAGGATAATGAGTAACGAGTAGGCCCTGGCTCCGAGGCCCAGTAAACGAGTATAAATACAGGAACTACAGATAAAAAAAGGGAGAAAAGAAGAAGGGTAAGAATCTCCTTGTTTAACTTAGAATACAAGTAGCCTAGAGCTTGAGACTGACTTGTCCGTCGGAGTGCTAATTCCAGCACCCACGTCGGAGTGTTTATTTCCTTTCAGGTGACTATCCGAGGACTCCTAGCGCCTCCCAGGATTCGAAGGGTATTTCCAAACCACTTCCCCACAATTGGCGCTGTCTGTGGGAATACTCGAATACATCCATGGAAGGTGTAACTGAAGATCCTCCGGTAGCCACTGACGAGATTACACAGAGGGATGACCTTACTCCAGCAAATATGCTCAGAAAGGAAACCATCGCTGCAAGACGCGCTTTGAACTTCGACTCACCAACGACTTCAACGCAAGAGACAATGCAAGCAATTATGGAACAAGCAAAGCAGAATGAACAGAGGCTGCAGAATATGATCGCTGAAAATGAACGTCTCCACCAAGATTTGGCCCTGGAAGTAGCGAAATCCAGAGAAACTGCGCGCCAAGATCCCGAACGACCTCCAAGGGTAGGTGAACAACAACCCTGAGCCCGACCAAGGGACACCGATAGTGACTCCAACTCATTATCCACGGAGCCCAACAAGAAAGGACGATCCGAAACCTCCAGCTCCTCCGAAAAAAGTCTACGAACAAGGAATAAACGCAGGAAAAACAGTTCAGATGAAGAAGATCAGCACGATCCCTTTGTCCGACGGATTGCAAGGGCAATTCTGCCCAAGAAGTTCAAAGCTCCGTCATTTACCCTCTATGATGGAAAATCAGACCCCACCGATCACATCCGTCACTACAAACAAGCCATGACATTGCATGCAGACAACGAGGCCCTCATATGCCGAATATTCCCCAGCAGCTTGGGACCTATGGCAGTCAGGTGGTATTACAAACTGGAGCCGGCTTCGGTCAAAAGCTTCCATCAATTACAGAAGTCCTTCAGGGCCAAGTTTATCACCAACGAGGTCCAGCTGAAACAAGTAGACTCTATCTGGGCGATGCAAATTCAACCTGAAGAAACACTAAGAGTGTATTCGGCGCGCTATTGGGAATGCTTTAATCTTGTTGACGACGCTTGCAACCACTCCATGGCCATCATCGCCTTCAAAATGGGATTGCAACCAGACAATGCCCTTTGCAGTTCCTTGACCAGAAGACCTCCCAAAACGGTCTGGGGGTTGATGAAGAAAGTTGAAGAATACTGCATGGTAGAGGACAATGCCGTGCGGGTTAAAGCCGGACGCGTATCCAGTAAAACGGCCTCCCTTGAAATTGCTCAGCCAATAAGTTCCGTACCGCCTCAAAGCCCAGAACCACGGCAGCGAGGTAGATGACATAAAAGGCGGGATTCTCGCCGATCGAACGATCAGTGCTCTCACCGAACGAATGAACAACTACAAGTCGACAGCAGGCGCACGAGACGTACTGATAAAAAATATACGGAACTGACAGAGCCGATCAATGCGGTAATATCCAAAATCCAACATCTCCCGTTTTTCAAATGGCCGTCGAAGATGGTAGGCCCTCTTGACACACGAAGGCGGGATAAGCGCTGCGAGTATCACAAAGATCATGGCCACGAAACTGAAAGTTGCTACGCATTAAAGGATCACCTGGAGGAACTGGTGCAAGATGGCCAGCTGCAACAGTACGTAAGAAAAGGAAACCCAACCAAGGCACTAGCCTTAAGACAAGATTCACTTCCACTTGGCGTGATCCATATGATATATAGCCTGCCAGCACCTCTAACCGTGCACACAAATCAATCGCATCCAGTCCCCCGAGGGCAGCATACTCCAACCAAACGGCCTAAAAAAGCTCTGAGTATTGCCTTCAACGATTATGATCTTGTCGGCATGACAATCTCCCACATTGATCCGTTGATCATCAGATTACGCATAAACCAGTTTACCATCGAACGCATTCTCGTAGATCCAAGGAGTACATCGGAGGTTTTGTATTATGAGACCCTCATCAAACTTGGCTTCAACAAGTCAGATCTGTCTCTGGGGCCTTATCCGTTATTCGGCTTCAACATGAATCCAAAGTACCTATTGGGGAAGATCATACTACCTGTTCGAGCGGGCTCCGGAACAGTCAAGGTTGAATTCTTGGTCGTAAAGCTTCCTTCGCCGTATAATGTCATCATGGGGTGAACCTAGTTGCATATCATGCAGGCCGTGCCAAGCACCTATCATCAGCTTATGCGCTTCTCGATAGCCCGTGGTGTTGAAGAGATTTGTGGCTGCCAGCAGTCAGCATGAACAGTTTTATGAAAGTTCTATTACCGACCCGACTTGTGGGCTTTGATACTTGTATTTAGCTGACTTCTGCAATGAAAAGTCTCATCTTTTTCCATCGTGTAATTCACTTCCCATTATAGTGTCAATAAGTCTCCGGATTCGGAGCGCCCTTTGTGGATATCACGATTGGCTCAAATAAGCCTCCGGATTCGGAGCGCCCTTCAGTACATGACACCTTAGGGCTGATTAAGCCTCTGGATTCAGAGCCCCCTTCGGTGCAAAACACGTTGGGGCCGATTAAGTCTCCGGATTCGGAGCGCCCTTCGTGGATATCACGATTGGCTCAAATAAGTCTCCGGATTCGGAGCGCTCTTCGTGGATATCACGATTGGCTCAAATAAGCCTTCAGATTCGGAGCGCCCTTCGGTGCATGACACCTTAGGGCCGATTAAGCCTCCAGATTCAGAGCCCCCTTCGGTGCAAAACACGTTGGGGCCGATTAAGTCTCCGGATTTGGAGCGCCCTTCATGGATATCACGATTGGCTCAAATAAGCCTCCGGATTCAGAGCACCCTTCGGTGCATGACACCTTAGGGCCGATTAAGCCTCTGGATTCGAAGCCCCCATCGGTACAAAACACGTTGGGGCCGATTAAGTCTCCGGATTCGGAGCGCCCTTCGTGGATATCACGATTGGCTCAAATAAGCCTCCAGATTCGGAACGCCCTTCGGTGCATGACACCTTAGGGCCGATTAAGCCTTCGGATTCGGAGCCCCCTTCGGTGCAAAACACGTTGGGGCTGATTAAGTCTCTAGATTCAGAGCGCCTTTCATGGATATCATGATTGGCTCAAATAAGCCTCCGGATTCGGAGCGCCCTTCGGTGCATGACACCTTAGGGCCGATTAAGCCTCCGGATTCGGAGCCCCCTTCGGGGCAAAACACGTTGGGGCCGATTAAGTCTCCGGATTCGGAGCGCCCTTCGTGGATATCACGATTGGCTCAAATAAGCCTCTGGATTCGGAGCCCCTGCTGCAAATCATATCCCCATTCGGCTCCTAAAGCTCGCACGCATAGGCTGATTCATTACGTCGGTAGGCCAAGTACCTAAGCTGAGCCGAATTAGACTATAATTGAACGCAATGCCATTCATCAACCTAGCGAATTGGGCACATCTTATGGACCCCTTGTTACATACGAAAATTATTACACACACTACAAGTCCGCATGAACGAAACAAAATATGCCAATATGTGAAATGAGGTGCCTAATTGAATATATAAAAACGCCCAGAACAAGGCGCAAACGTTCGAAATGAAACATTTTATTTGATTAAAACAGTAGTTACATAAACGCAACCCGCATTCGAACATTACAATATCCATTTTCAACCTCAAAAGCGAAAAGGGGGAAAAGACGCGTTGGTAAAGTGACAGCGCCAAATCAACGCCCGTCGCCTGGAAGTCCTCCACGGCTTGCAATGCCTTGAGCCAACTGTGCCCAAGCCCATGACTTGCATATTGCCAAACTTCCCCTAATACCATTGACAATGTCAATGCAAAGATCCAGGACAAGGAAGGATAAACTCAACGGTCGTTGTCTCTCCTTTCGGGGCAATCTGCTTCGACGACTTGAAGACTCGTGCCATCTTTTGGACGCCCTACCTCCCATATGGGTGGGTTCTCTGCTGCGATCCATTACAACACCAAGCTCGGCCGAAGTTTCGAGCTTCTGTAAATAACAAGTGATGAGGAATCAAGTGTGTTTATTTGCGTGAAGCGCCCACTCCTTTTATTTTCAATACTGGTAGTGATCTCGAGGCCCCAATCCCGAGGCAATTTCATTAACGCTAAACTCCATGAGACGAACGTCGGTCGACATTCACCACTGCCTAGTTATCCAAACGGCTTTTTGAAGCACATGCACTGGCTGAGCAAGGACAGAATTATCAATCCAACCGGCCAAACATCCAGGCCCCGAGCCAGGACGAATTTGCTACAGCCACTCCACTCACTGGTTTTTGGCTTCCTCAGGCTACAATGACCTAGTTATCTAGACGACGATCACAGATAAATGGCCTAGTTACAAATGGCCCAATTACAATGGCCTCATTCAAGACTAAATGGCTATCACGTATGGGCCGACCTTGCCTATAAACCGGCGTATCACTGGACATTTAACAGATACTCGGGCCGATCAATGCTTATACGTTCATTCAAACATTTATGCAATAAAACGAAACACGTATATGCCGAATACGAACTACAACGAAATATTTATAAATAGAACATTTTTTATTCAATCAAACAATAAATTACATAGTTTTAAACGTGATCTGCGTTTCAACCTTACAATGAGTATCCTTATACGGCGTCACCCTCATCCTCACTCTTCTCGACTTCAAAAGTAGAAAATGGAAAATGTTTACTCTGGTAGAGCGGCGATGCCGAATCAATGACTGACGCTCAAAGAACTTCCGCGGCCTGAGATGCCTTGATCCAACCGTGCCTAAATCCACGATTTTCATATCGGCAAACCTCTTCGGCAAGCTTCTCCTTGGTCTTTTTGATTCCAACTTTCCGGCCTTCATGAAAACCATTTTCATAGGCCCTCCCCTTCACAGACTCCATTGTGAACATACTCGCCGTCTCATGATCGGCGAGCGCGGTACTGATGAGCTGCTGGGTAACCCTTTCTTTCACGATTGGGTTTTCCTGCCGGGCGGGTTATACCTGAGCCACCCTGGCCTTCCTTAACTCACGCTCAGCCGCCTCCACGCGAGCTTCCAAACTTCGAATACGCTCCTCCCTCCTCTCCATTTCTCGGCGGGCAACGCGCAGCCGCATGCCAATTTCATAGACAGTGTAAAGCCCTTTCACCGCCCTATGAATGCCTTCACAAAATACTTCGTAGTCCTGTCGACCTACCATTGACTGCTGAACGCTGAACCTCAGGAGAAAAAAATTTTTGAGCAAACTCGACCGCTACGTTTGGGTCTCGAACGATCGAGTCCCCCTCTGTTATGGGTTTATTGCCCATAAATACCGCAAAACTTAATGGGCACGGATTCGAGTCAGATCCCCTTTTGACTCGGGGTTGTGGAGATCAGCCCTGCGACTGTTTGTCCCGACTAGGCGACTTGCTTCGACGTCGAGGAGACTGATGCCTCTCTCGATCCCTAGAACTCCTACTTCCTATGCGCGAAGGTTCACCACCTCGATTCATATCTCCACCCAGCTTAGCTAGCGTCCTCGCTTCCCCTCTGCTGTTAAAGAAGAGTCTGTTCGACATTCACACGATGAATCTTCTTCCAAGAGCTGGAGTCAGTTGTTCACTAAGCTCATAAAAGTTGTACCTTTGTTCTTTTATCCTTTACGAAGGCAGCACCCTCGAGGCAATCTCATTAATTATGAAAACCTCAATCGCCCGGCACCGACTGAGTCGACCCTCGTGGGGCAAGGGCAGAATCCACGCGCCCATCCGGCGTATCATGTCCATGAGCCAACTACGGCAGGGGCAGATTTATTAATCTAATCGACTTAAGGGCAGATTCATCAATATATTCGCCTTATGCGCCCCAGCCGGCCCATGAATCGATTCTTCAGAACTCTTAAGTTCGTCTCTTCTGGCGCCCGAATGATCATGAACCACCTGGGGCAAGGGCAGAATCCATGCGCCCATCCGGCGTATCTTGTCCATGAGCCAACTACGGCAGGGGCAGATTTATTAATCTAATCGGCTTAAGGGCAGATTCATCAATATATTCGGCTTATGCGCCCCAGCCGGCCCATGAATCGATTCTTCAGAACTCTTAAGTTCGTCTCTTCCGGCGCCCGAATGATCATGAACCGCTTGGGGCAAGGGAAGATTCATCAAACTATTCGGCATATGAATGATAAGTCAATATTGCCAAGATATTCAATCTTAGAAAGCTCAACAGAATAATCATTTTACCTAAAGTAGTGAAAGGCAAAAATTCATCACTAGCACAACATTACAAACTGCACATAAGTAGTAGTGAAATGACAAGGTAATTTTCATTAATAAATTGAGCGCAGATAGTAACCAATTTATACATGAAAACTACTCGCAACCAACAAAAGTTCTTAAAAAAAAAACATACATCAAAAGTGAAAGCATTTCATAAAATTCGAATGCCTTCCAGATCAATCCTCGGGGTCAGACTCAAGTGGCTCAACGTCCACCTGCTCATATGGAATTGGCAAGTCCAATGTAACCCCAGCGGCATCAAAGGCCTTGAGCCACCCATGTTTGAATCCCCGATTCTCAAACTTGGGGACTTCATCTACGTATTCCTCGAAGGCGGCACCTTTTCCTGCTTCAAATACGGTAGAAGCCTCAGATTCGGCTTTTTCCTTGGCCGCCTTCAACTCTGCTAACTCAGTCTCCACCTTGTTAAGCACCTCCTTGGCTAGCCTAAGCGATTCTTCGTTCGCGGTCGCCCTATCTTCGGCATCAGAACGGAGCTGATCGGCAGACTGAGCCCTTTCTAATTCGGCTTCGGCTCGCACAGTCTCCATTGCGGCTCTCATAACGTCAAACTCGGCCCTGCTCTTTTGACTGTCCACGTCTGACTGTAAACGGTCAATCCTCTCAAGGGCATCATGTAGGTGGCAGCCCAAGTCGGTGATCCTATCGACTGTCTGCAAAATGAGTTGGGATCTTCAGATACCATAGGCAAGCAGAATCAAAACAAGTTAAGGTCACCTACCAAAAGGGCCGACTGCGTAGATAGGGCTACGGCCACCAAATCCGGCATGGCATGAAAGGATGCCTTATCAGCCGGTAGGAAGACTGAAGCCGCGAAGCTCAACGCTACCGCTGGGTTGGTAATAATGGATGCGTCAGAGGAAATCGGCGTGTCTCTGATCTTTGGCTGAACAATGAAAGGAACAACCACGTCCGAATTTTCTAAGCGAGGCCTTTTGTCAGCAGGACTATCTTCTGAACCGACCTCTCCCTCGGCGCTACGCTTCTTGCCCCGCTCTTTCGGAATCAACCGTTCTTCAATGACCGGTTGTTCAACCTCTTTTACCGTTTCGGCCGC